CCCGAGGTGACCGGCCCTTTGCCCATTTGCCCGAGTCCCATCGCCCGCCACTCCCGTTCCCCCCTACGGCCCCCCCGGTGCCCCGGCTCAAACCCGGCATCAACAGTGGCTCCAACATCCCTGCGGGTAAAATGAACACCCGTGACCAGGTGCTGCTGCCACCCGTTCAGCCGTCAGGCGACCCTGAACACGGCGGGCGGCACCGGCACGTCCCAGGTATAACATATCCTCCCAATTTCCCCCATGTGCCCACTACAGACCCCTCGTCACCAGACCGAGGGCCTCCAGGAGCGGTGGAGGTAATCCGAGAGTCCAGCAGCACGACGGGCATGGTGGTGGGCATCGTGGCCGCAGCTGCCCTCTGCATCCTCATCCTGCTCTACGCCATGTACAAGTACCGCAACCGCGATGAAGGCTCCTACCAGGTGGACCAGAGTCGCAACTACATCAGCAACTCGGCCACGCAAAGCAACGGCGCCTTGGTGAAGGAGAAGCAGCCCGGCGCAGCCAAGATGGGTACAAAGAGCAAGAAGAACAAAGACAAGGAGTATTACGTCTGAGCTCGGCCTCCGTAGGGACCGAGGCGGAAGCGAAGGGGAGAAGGAGAGAGATAGGATGAGGAATGGAAAGGGAGGTCCAGGTATTTGTCGGCAGTTTACCAGTCACATTTAGAGCTCTGACATCAGTCTTCTTTAATTTCCCGTCTCGTCTAGCTGTTGGCCTCATTTCCAGCAAGAGCTAAAGAGTTCGAAAGCATCTAGGGTTCGGAATCATCCCCTCCCTCATTTCCATTTGTGATAGCTAATCCCTATTACAAAAAGAAACTGCAGACCTTTTGTATCGAAGAAAAGTGGATTTTTCCTCGCATGTAATTTGACGCTCTAGTTTGTTCTTTGTAAATACTATGTGAGTCCTCAATATTCAGATCATCTCCTAACCTGATGTCAAAACACCCGCGTACGCCAGGTTGCTTGGGCGGTCCATTGTTGCTCCATCAGAGCATTGGATGCGGTTGAGAATTGTTTGGGAACGAGAGCAGTTCAGCTGGAACAGCTTGGCATAGGTGACATTTCAGGAACAGATGGTGCCGAAAACGTTTAGCAGTCACACTCCTCTGTAATACTGCCAAACCAGCTCCGTGTCAAATGCGTCTCCCTCTCTTTCCAAGTGCTACACATTTCCAGCCTCCGCTCCCATCATCCCTCTCTTTCTCTCTTTCTCTGCACCTTTTCTTGGCTTGTTCTCTCTTTTTCTCCTTGTCCTTGGTGCTCAGGAGCAGATGCAACGTAATTCTGTTGTGTTTCCAGCATGTGGTATTCAAAATGAAAAGAGACAAAAACTGTTTCTGTGGAGTCAAACAAATAAATATATATCTATATATCAAACCGTTACAACTAGCGAAACATCTGTGGATGATCCCTTCAGCCGCCAGGACTCTTGGAGGCCTGCAGTTACCCTGCTTTCAAGCAAATATTCGTTGTGTGTTTTTGGGGTTCCCCAGGGCTCTGTCCTGGACCCGCTGAGGATCTTGGTTTCTGCTCCACATTCAAGAACCTGAAACCCCCAACAGCAAATAGATATATTCATATACAGATATTTGAAAAGACAAAGGGACATGAGCAACTGAAAGTCTGACGTGATCGATCAAGGCCTACATCACATCAACAACCCGTATCAGTGGAAAACAGCAGAGCAGGATGCTAGGATGCCTTTTGTTTTGTTTTCTATATGTTTGTGTGTTTGTGCTTTTTTTATTTCGTCACAATGTCAAAGAGAAAAGACAATAACGTTCCAGTTCATGTACATCCCACGTAGGGAACGTGAACTCTCCTGCGTCTTTAACCACGTTCTCTCAGGAGGAAAGTAGGTATGAACTTTGCGCATTTAATGGAACGTACTCTCTCGGAAGAGACAAAATGGCCTGTTTCTTGGAAGATGTACATCTTGAACTCTAGTATTCTAATTTTCTCAACTCTATTAAAAGAACTAAACTCTACATTGAAAAGAAAATGTTAAAACAGTTTGTGAAACGTCTAAATATTTGAATCTCATCCCAGTGCTAAAAGAGATGTTTTTTTCCTAATTACCATCCCTAAGAAAAAAGAAAAAAAAGAAAAAGAAAGTGCAGTGAAATGCAAAGATCAGTGAATCGGATTCCAGAAAGCAGATGCTCTTTTGAATATTAAACAGCAAAATGTGATTTGGTTTACAAGAGAACATTTCCTTTACCAGGTGTGAGAGTATCTCCTTGTATCCATAAGACTTTGATCATTGACTCCATCCTCCGTTTAAATCATGTTGCTCGCTTTACCCAGCGTGTGGAGGGCTGTTCATACTTCATACTCACTCAACGAGGACCAGACTTCATCATCATTTGATTTCACTCTTCCATCTCTGTGTGTTTGCGTGAGCGTTTGTGCGCTTGTTTGTCTGTGTGAATGTGTTTCCATTCTTTCCGTTCCTCTTCAGGTTTGTCGGTTGCATTTCTCCTCAGCTCCCTTGTTCTTTCTAAATGTTATTGTAGAGTGTTCCAGTGAGATGAATCTGCATACGTGTATATTAACAGAAGGGAATACAATTGGTTATATACTTCTTACACCCCGTGTCGTGTGCTTATTTCAGATTCACACTTTTCTTCCAGAATAGTCTTCCTCACTTCAGCTCGACACAAACACTTTGAGTGTAAACTAGAGTATTTATAGTACAGTGTTGCTGTGGACTCGTAAAACACATTTATGTGAGTGCCGGAAAGTCTTTTATTCTCATGGTTTCTTATTCAACATTTAAAATAAAGCAGAAATCATAATAATGGTCGGAATATGAAACCTGTATAATCTCAAATTGGAGTCCTGATATATTTCCAATTATCAGACTATCAAACTGACGCTGGTAATATTGTAATAGTAATATTGCCAGATATAAATATGGTTAATTTATATATTATTTTAATTTGTAATTCATTATAATTTTTAATGGGATGTCAATTTATTAATTGTAGATGCTAACTAATGTTCATTGATCATTAATCACTATCCTTCGGTGTTCGTTTGGTCCAGCTGCGACAGGCCTGAGAGACTGAGCTCTCTGACCTCTGAATCACATGATACGCTGTCAGACGCTGTCAAAAACCGTTCAGCTTTTACAGCATGATTTATATTGCATGGAAGCCCTGAACCGCAATGTGAGGGGAAAGTCAAGGTGGAAAAAAAATCGTCTTAGATCCTTCCTGAGCCCAGGTCTTAAGAATTTGTTTCCTCTCTCGCTCCAAAAATATTTTTTTTCTCTTTCCAATTGGTTTCTTTTCTGAAAAATGTTTTTCTCTCTCTCTTCAATTTTTTTCCCCTAAATAGGCAACACAAGAGAGGGAAACAAACGGAAGTCCTGGACCAAAATGTGAAAAGCAGTGTGTGTGTTCCTAAATGCTAAGAATATCTCTCACTGTTTTTTTTTTTTTCTCAACATTTTTTTCTCCCTCTCCAACTTTTATCGTTTTTTTCCCTCATTTTTTTTCTCTCTCCAAAGTTGTTATTCCTCCGCCCAAAAAAAGTTCCTCTCTCCCCAAAAAGAAAAAAAAATCAATCAATTGAACGTTGGGCAAACAGGACAGCCAAGACAAGAGAGTCGTTGCAACTGTCTAACATTAGATAGACTAACAATCAAAAAATCAAAGGTCATGTATGCATATATTTAATCTGATTTTGTCTTGATTTTCATTTGCAAAACCTTGTAAATGTATTCAAGTCTGAATACAGAAAGCAGTGTAAGCATTAGATTTCATGCTAAATTATAGTGGCACCTCGTGGCCGCGGTTGGTACTGCATGATAATGCTCTCTCGCTCTCATTGAAAAAAGAGAGAACAGTTTCTGAAGAGACAGTCAAAAACACAAACTTTTAAAACATTTGAGATTTTATATAAGCTCTGATCCACATGATTTTCTTTTTTTTTTTTTTATTGTCTAATTGTTTTTGCTCTATTTTTTTTCTCTCTCCAAATTTTTTTCTCTACTGATTTTTTTCTTGCAAGTAACTTTTTTCTCTGCTCAAAACTTTTTTTTCTCTCTCTCTCTTTTTTTCATAAAAAAAAAAAGTACATTTATTTTTATGTGATTTTTTTGTCTCTCGATGAGAAAAAAAAAAGATTTTGGAACAAAAAAAAGTTTTTGGTTTTTGGGGAGAAATATTTCATTGCAGGAGAGAAGAAAAGCTAAGGACTACGATTCCGGAAGGACCTGAGACACAGGCGTTTGTTTGTTTGTTTGTTTGTTGTGGTTCAGGGCTTCCACAGTATTGTGTGTTCTGTGCTTCATCTAGCAGTTGTTGAATGTGTTGTGGTGTTCAAACTACTGCACTATTGCAATTTTTTTCCCCAAATACATTTTTGCTCTCTCTGATTTTTTTTTCTTTCTCCCTGATTCTTTTTTCTCTCTCAATTTTTTTTTTCTCTCCCATGAAACATTTTTTTTTTTCTTTTTGATTTTTTTTTTGGTCTTCAAAATAATTTTTTCTCTCTGATTTTTTCTTTCACACAAAACATTGTTTTCTTTCTGTCTAGCATTTTTGCTCAGAATTTTTACTCTATAAAAAAAATATTTTCTCTCTGAATTTTCTTTTTCAAAAAAGAATCAACTTGTCTTGATGAAAATTTTCCTCTTTAAAAAAAAAAAAAAAAAAAAAAACTTTTTTCTCTCAGATTTTCTTTCTCTTCAAAAAACTTTTTTTCTCTTTCCATTTTTCTCTCTCTGACATTTGATCTCCCAGACACTTTTCTCCCTCTCCAGTTCTTTGTATCTCTCCAAATGTTTGCATTTCCTCTACTGAAACTCTTTTGCCCCTCTCCAAAAACAGTTGTCCAAGTACCGACGGGCAAGCGGCGCAGCGAGGTGTCTCAGTAGTCTAGTGCACATGTCGATAGACCCACAATTTAAAAACATACACATGACTGTGAACATGTTACCTGAGTTTGTTCATTATGATTTGCAAAACATTCTCCTAAATGTAATATTCATATCATCAGAGAAAGCTTTAATGCTAATGATAGCGGCACCTGCTGGCTGAGGTTGGTACCGCATGCGAGAAATAAATGGAGAAAAACATTTGGACAGCAAGAAAAAAAAATGGTAGAGAAAATTGAAGAGAAAAAAAACGTTTTTTAGAGGGAGAACATTTTCAAGAGAAAAAAAACCGAGAAATAAAATCGTATTATTCTTATGACACCAGGGGCGGATCTAGAAAATAATTTGGCAAAGGGGTGGCATGGGGTCTGTGAGGGGTGGCAGCACCAAAGCAAGCCCCAGGCATAGTTTTGGGGGATTTATGGTCTGGCATACACAGTTGTGTTCACAAATATTGTATTACCATTAAGAAATCATCTATACTGTTTAAAATGAAAAATAAACAACATTTCAATATCCATCATGGTACCAAGTCAACACACAACATAAACTTCAACAGGTTATAAATGTTTCTGAGCTTGTATCACTAAAGAAGACATGCGGTTCTATTAAAATTACACAGGCTAGATGGTATAATCACGTTTAGTGCAAGTTTAAGAGCAACACAAACGTTTGAATTTCCCGACATTAATATCAAAGCGCTGAAACTGGATCAGATTTGAAAACAATGTTATGAACAGAGGTGGGAATGTCTGTAATCACCCAGAACACACTCTAGCAACACCCCAGCAACTGCAGAGCAAGAGCCTAGCAACCACCCAGAGTATCCTAGCAACCAACTAGCAACACTTTAGCAAACATCTAGAACAGGGGCGCCCAACCCTGCTCCTGGCGATCGACTGTCCTGCAAAGTTCAGCTCCAACCCTAATCAAACACACCTGAAGCAACTAATTAGGGTCTTCAGGATCACTTAAACATTAAAGGCAGGTGTCTTTGATTAGAGTTGGAGCTAAACTTTGCAGGACAGTCGATCGCCAGGAGCAGGGTTGGGCACCCCTGATCTAGAACATCTAACTGAACGAACCATTTTGAAACAAGACTTTTAGACAAGCTTTTCAATCTAGTTATTACAGGTTTTCTTACAGTTTTTGTTTCAACTGCTCTTCAAAATGCCTCTTTTTTCCAAACTTCACACACAAATCCAAGAACTGCACACAAAATGCAAAATGCCTCACAACTCTTGCAAAACAAAGCACTGCATTCAAAATATCACAAACACATCTCAAAAGCAAACACCTTTGCCATAATATTAATTCCTGTTATAGATTTGTGTGTGTTACATAGAGAATTGTGTGTTGTGTTTTGCAAAAAGTGTTTTCTGAAATTGAAACCTGACTCAAAGTCTGAGAATCAGTGTATGGTTTTGCAGATTTGGTGTGTGCTTCTGCTGTTTGAGTGTCAGCTTTCAGAAACTGTGTGACAAGGAAAGGTTTCGTGTATAAGCAGCTGAAAAAGACTGTAAGATGACTCTCCTGCAGTGAACACTGAGATCAATAACACTGTGACAAAAACTCTTACTAGGATTCAGGAATTATTTTTGCAGCTCAATGTCTATTACAGTATACATAAATTAAATTACAGATACAGATGTATAATTCAGCCAATTAAAAAAGGTAAATTTAGCATCCTCTGCACATTCTGCCAAATGTAATTACAGTGTACAGTACTATAGCAGTTTCTATGTCTCCTGACACAAGACTATATCTCTAGGCACTCATTTCTCAGTTCTGCAAAAATGCAGTACACATAAAAAATGGTTACAAATAAAGTTTGACAGTCACATGCTTGAAGGTGTACAACATGCGCTACAGTTTACTGTACATATAGAATAGTGAAATGTCCATGATCTAATGTACTGGTACTGTACTGTAATGATACTGTATGTGTAAGTATAAACCCCTGTAGATGATTGGCTCAGCTCGAGCTCTCTCAGTTGTTAGCATGCACAGATTCTGATTGGGGTGTCATCAGTTTTGCTAATGTGTAACTTACTCAGTGTTAAACTTTTGGAGAAATGTGTCTTTGTTTTGAAAACTGAATGGTTTGGGGGAAAAGTGCCAACTAAAATCAGTTATATTAACAATCGAGAAAACTGCAATACGACTAAATTCTTACCTAACTCTGCTATTAGTTTCTGTGATCGGCATTTAATTATTGATTTCATGTTATTGTTACGGCTTAAATACTATTGTGGATGAAGGTGGAGCGAGCGGTCGGAGAATCGGATCACCAAACAATTACTGAAAGACGTGTTTTTGCCATTATTTTGCGTTACGCTGTCATCGCCGCGGCTGAAAAGTAGCACCGAGAAAACTGCAATACGACTAGATTCTTACCTAACTCTGCTATTACCGTAGTTTCCGTGATCGGCATCTTCTTATTGATCTCATGTTATTTATTGTCACGGCTTATATTCATGATGAAAGTGGAGCGAGCGGTCGGAGAATCAGATCACCAAACAATTCGATTTCTCAGATGACTTCGGAGTTACCTGAACAGCAGTAATTATCTGATTCATGAACTAATCTACGTTTTTATGTCACAGAATTTTAAAGAAAAGTCTTAAAGTAAAAATATAGATGACTAACTTGAAGACTAGTCTAAATCTTTTATGCAACCGGCC